ATGCCCAAGATTCTCCGCCACGCCCTGAACCCAAAGCAGCTCACGAGCCTGCAGACTGGCTCCCACGCTGACGGCGGCGGCCTGGAGTTGCGGGTGGATACCAAAGGGGCCCGCAGGTGGGTGGTGCGGCTCAAGGTTGCCGGAAAAATGACCACCCGTGGTCTAGGGAGCTTCCCTGCCGTGTCCCTGGCCGATGCCCGCAAATCCGCTGCCATGGCGGTAAGAGAGGCGAAGGAGTCTGCGTCGGCGCCGGAGCCGGAGTCCAAACTCGTCCCGATCTTCAGCAAGGCAGCTCGTGACTACATCAACGCCAACAGCCCCACGTGGTCGAATGCCAAGCACGCGGCTCAGTGGCGCAACACCCTGGCGCGGTACGCCGATCCGGTGATTGGGGACTTGCCCGTTGACGAGGTTACGACCGCAGACGTTCTGGACGTGCTCACGCCGATTTGGCTGGAGAAGCGCGAGACCGCATCCCGCGTCCGTCAGAGGTTGGAGAAAGTCTTCGACTGGTCGATTGTGCACGGCCACCGCGAACGGGCCAACCCCGCGACTAAGGCCATCCTGGTGGGCCTGCCGAAGGTCAAGCAGGTGAAGGAACACCACCGCGCACGACCGTATCAGGACGTGGCCACTGCCCTCCGCAAGGTCAGTCTCAGCACCGCGTACCCCGCGACCAAGCTGGCCTTCCGGTTCCTGGTACTAACCGCCGCCCGATCCGGCGAGATACGGCTGGCAGACTGGTCGGAGATCGATTGGGATGCCCGCCTGTGGACGGTGCCTGCGGAGCGCATGAAGGCCGGGAGGCAGCACAGGGTCCCCCTGTCCGAGCAGGCACTGGCGGCGCTCGAGGACGCCCGTACATTGGGGAGCGGCGAGGGCCTGATATTCCCGGCCAAAGAGGGCGGCATGATGAGCGATATGGTCTTCACCGCCCTGCTCCGAAGGTTGAAGGTCGATTGTGTCCCGCACGGAATGCGCAGCTCGTTCAGGGACTGGTGCGCCGAGACCGGAGTGGCCCGGGACCTGGCGGAGGCGAGCCTGGCGCACTCACTGGGGGCGACCACGACCGAGAGCGCGTATTTGAGGTCTGACATGGCGGAGCCGAGGCGGGGAGTCATGCAGGATTGGGGCACATTTTGTTGCGGTGCTGTAAAGTAAGGTCGTGTTCTAGGCACTGCAAGGTTCTTCGACCCCTCGCAAGGCTAGGCGCTACTGCCCTCGGCACTTCCTTTCGGCGGCACGGCCTTCATGGGCGCACCACGGCTGACAAATGCAAGGATAAATCCCCCACCTGCTCAGGTGGGGGATTTCGTTTTGGTTGACCTGCACAGTAGCTGACGGAGATGTGGGGCCCCGGTACGGCAGGCGGATGGCCACTCGGAATCGGAGAGGGGCAGGGGCGGGACAGCATTCCGCCCCTTTCCTGTCACTGACATTTCCCCGTAGACGCCGTGTCCTGGCGGGTGCTAGGTTGAAGTGCAAGATTTGGAGGTGAGTGTTGTTTCGATACGGTGATTGGCACGCTAGCGAACAACATTGGACGAACGTCGGCTGGGCATGATATTCGAGGGGGGGGGGGGGGGCACCGGCATTTTGGGATTCCGATGTCGCATACATAGGGATACATCCCATTGGGCCGCCAACCCATGCAAGTCTTTGACTTATCGCCGGACCTAGTAGCGTTGGCCACCGTGGCCGCCAGGTACAGCTGGAATTTCGTCTTGGCGCGCCCGAAGTAGCGGGACTGGCGGATTCCCAGTTGGACCAGCCGCGCCAGCCGGTGCTCCACCACCACCCGGCGCTGCCGGTACTCGCCAAAGGCCTCACTCTGCTGCAGGGCCCGGGCCTGCTGCAATAAAGCCTCCTGCGGGTGCAGTTGCACCGTCCGTCCTGTGCCCGGTGCCGCGGCCACGCACTGGGTCCGCAGCGGGCACACCCCGCAGACCGCTCCATCGAACTGGAAGGACTTCAGTTGGTGCGTCCGGCCTGCTGCTGTGGTGCGAGTACCCAAGGGCCGGATTCTCCGGGAAACATTCTCCGCCGGACAGGTGCAGGTGCCCGCCTCCAGGTCGATATGGAAGTCCTCTTTCGGAAAGTGTTTCCGGTCGGGGCGGCCTGGCACCCGGGCTACCAGCCTGCGGCCCGCATCGGCGAAGGTTTGGCGGGTCCCGCCGTCCCCATAGGCGGCGTCGCCCATGGCCTCCTCCACCGGCACACCGGTGTTGTACTTCGGCAAGCTCAGCATCTCCTACACCAACTCCAGCGCCCCCGTGTTGTCGCGAGCGTTGCCCGGCAACACCTCCACGGCGGTGATCAGCTGAGAGTCGGTATCCACCACAATCGGTACCTTGTGCCCGTCGAACCGTTTACTGCTGCTTTTGCGTCCGTGGCGCATCTCCGGGTCATGCACCGACATCATCCGGTCCGGGCTCACCCCGTCCCTGAGGCTCACCCCGTCATCAGTGCGCTCCACGTCCTGAAGCAGAAACTGCCCCAGCAACTCCGCCGGCGCCACTATCTGCTGACGCTGGACGCTGTCCTCCGCCAATTCCCACTGCGCCTGCCACGCCAACCCCAGCAGCCGGTCGGCGTCGGCCACGATCCCGGCCAGCAGTGCCGACCGCGCCCTCTTGTCCGACCAGTCGATGGCTGCCTCGCCCTTGATGCTGGAGGCGAGGTACCGCCCGTATTCCCGGGCCTTGGCCCATTTCCCGACGCTGATTCCCTCAACCTGCGCCAGCGCCCGCAGCAGCTTGACGATCCCGTCGGCCAACAGATTGTAGGTGTCCCTCACCGCGCCCCGGCCCAGGATGTTGGTCGTGTCCAGCGCCACCTTCATGCTCCGCCTTTTCAGGTAGCCCGACTCCCGGGCGAGGCGCAGGCTGGACTCGAACACCTCCCGCACCCTGTCGTGCAGGATCAGCTGGGCGCGGAACACCTGCAGCGTGCTCTTGGCGAAGGGCCTGTCCTCCACCTCAATCCCCAGAGCCACCTTCCAGCGGATGTCGAAGTCGGCCCGGGCCTTGGCCTCGGCGTCGCTGACCTTGTCGTGGGACTGGAGCAGGAGAGCCGTCGCCAGCAGGCTGGGCGGCACGCTGTCCCGGCCGTTGTCGGCGCAGTAGAACACGGCGAAATCTGCGTCCCGGAACAGCCGGCCCCGCAGTGAGGCCAGCAGACCGTAGAAGGTGTCCTTGCCCCACATGGTCCAGATACAGCCGGTCCGCTTCCCACAGACCCCTCTGGTCCGAACGCTCTCCCAGCATTCTCAGCCCTCGCTACGCTGGTTGACCCCAAGTATACCCGCTGGCTGGCCGACGCCACTTTCCGGCCAGATTTCTAGGCTGTATGAAATGGGGTGGACGGTGATGCGCCTGTGGTAACATGACTTGGAACGGGACTATGAGGCCAGTATCCAAAGCATCGTGCGCACTGTGAGATTGAAGGCTGCTGCGTGATCGCAATCAAGCTCATGTGGGATTACAGCGATGCCAACTATTGGTAGGTCAGGCTGGACACGCCAGCAACTGCTGGTGGCGTTCGCGTTGTATTGCCGAATGCCATTTGGCAGGCTGCACGCCAAGAATCCTGAGATAGTGCGAATCGCAAACGCCATTGACCGGACACCATCAGCACTTGCGATGAAACTTGTCAATATCGCCAGCCTTGATCCCGAAATCACAGGCACGGGTCGTAGCGGCCTGAAGAATGCATCCACTAACGACCGTGCAATGTGGGATGAGATGCAGGACAACTGGGACCGCTTCGCTGTAGAGTCTGATCGGGCCACGAGGGACTACGAAGCAATAGCAGAACCGCTCGGCGGCGAGGTCCCTGGCGGCGACAGCGGGTTTCCTGTGGGTGAAGACCGTGCCGTGCACTACTACTGTTCGCATCGGGCAGGACTTCTTCCGTGCGGCAGTCCTGAGCGCATACAGCGGGCAGTGCTGTATTACCGGGTTGTCAATGCCCAAACTCCTCGTGGCAAGCCACATCGTTCCGTGGCGTATTGACAGACTCAACAGGGTGAATCCCAGAAACGGTCTGCTATTGTCTGCGTTACACGACAAAGCGTTCGACATCGGTTTGATTACGATCGAAGACAATATGACCGTCCGGGTTTCCCGGAAACACCCCGTGCGAAACACAGGTTCTTTTCGGATTCTATTGAGTTGTACGATGGACAGCCTATCCGTCGGCCGGAGAAATTCCGACCTGACAAGGAGTTTCTTGCCTATCATAGGGAGCACGTCTTTCTGGAGTGACGTGAGTACCTCAGTACCAGCAATTGGAAGAGAGTCATGGTCCCAGCTGGGGCTATGCCGAGCTCGCCGACCTTGGGGAGGCCCTCGGTTTCGCAAGTGTGTAGGCTTGAAGATGGCACTTGGGTAGTCGACGAACGCTTTATTCGGGCAAACGTAATCAAGCGGGAGGTTGATGGATGGCCACAGTGTCCCCGAAATCCACACAGTGCAGCCGCGTTCTAAGGCTCAACTACACCGGTCGGATCATCGACCACCTCGGGCTTCAAATGTACCAGAGCCCCGTGGCCGCAGTTGCCGGGCCGGTGGCTGGCCCTCTGTTCTGTAGCGGTTGGCGACCAGCTCGATCAGACCCTCGTCAAGACCGCCGACCACTTGGTGCCAGCCTTGGATTACGGCTCCGACCGATTTACTGCCGTCAGTCATCACGTCAGTGGTACACGATCTCGGCGCCCCTGTCGGGTGTAAGCGGCGGAAATAAAGTGGACCGTGTGGGCAGAAGATCCCTGACATCTGGCGGTTAAATTTTGTAAGCCTGCCCCAGCGGTAGCACCTGAACGGTGCGGTCTTCGGACTAGATTCTTGTCAGTTCCGAGGCAGTCCATGTGGATGACTTGCCCTGGTAGGGTGGTTCATAAACGCGCGTTTGTGACACTGGGCCACAATTCACCCCCTTCAGCTTGTTCAGGGGTGGGTCACAAAGGTATAGCGCAATGCCGACCAGTTGGAGGGAGAGAGATGCCCGATACCTACGGCTACGTCCGCACCAGCCGCCCCAGAGTCTCCGAGTTGGCGGGCAGCGACCCGGAAACCCAACGCCAGCAGATGCTGGCGGCCGGCGTGGCGCTTTCTCACATCTATCAGGATGTCGGCATCTCCGGTACCTCCGGTACCAACATTCGGTGGGGCTGGCACTCTCTTGACTCCCGGCTGGCCCAGGGCGACACCTTGGTTGTGGTGTCCATCGACCGCATCGGGCGGCGCTGGCTGGACACCATTGGGAACATCCACGATCTGCAACGGCGCGGAGTCAGAATTCGCAGCCTAGCCGATAACGCACAGCACGACAGGGAGTGTTGAAATCCCTGGTGCGACGACTCCTGAAGATTTTGGATGTGGCGGTGCTGCCGGCGAGGGTCTTCAAGGATGTCTGGGATTGGACGGGCGGCGAAGCCGGCGAGAGGGAGGCCGGAACGCTTCGGCCCACTATGATGAATTATCCCCGGGAATGCAGGCGCATAGCCCGGGACTGACCCCCGCCCTGGCTGCGCCTGACGGATCTTCGTTCCTGCCCAGGAAGCAATGACCTTGAATGCCAGGTGCGTCTGTCCTACGATTGATGCTGTGCTGCTCACCATCTCTACTACGCATCAGCCGGCGACTGACCTGGGGTTCCTGCTGCATAAGAACCCGGGGCGGTTGCAGTCGTTCACGCTGCCGTTCGGGCGGGCTGATGTTTTCTATCCCGAGGCGGAGTCCGACCGCTGCACCGTAGCGCTGCTCCTGGACATCGATCCGGTGGGGTTGGTACGCCACAAGTCCGGTGCGCCCAGTTCTGGCGGATGGCTGGAGCAATACGTGAACGACCGCCCGTACGTGGCGTCATCCCACCTGAGCGTGGCGATTGCCTCCGTATTCGGCAGCGCCCTTGCCGGCGCAAGCAAAGAGCGCCCGGAGCTGGCGGAGTCGGCCATTCCGCTGGAGGCCCGGATCGCAGCGGTGCCGTCCAGAGAAGGAGCGGACCTCATCCGCAGCCTGTTTGAGCCGCTCGGCTACACCGTTGAGACCCATGGACACCCGCTCGATACACGCTTTCCCGAGTGGGGCGCCAGCCCGTACTTCAGCGTGCACCTCACGTCGGAATCCCGGCTCCGCGACCTACTGGCCCACCTGTATGTGTTGCTGCCGGTACTGGACGATAACAAGCATTACTGGGTCGGCGACGATGAGGTGGAAAAGTTGATGCGCTTTGGGGAGGGGTGGCTGGGCAACCATCCGCAGCGGGACCTCATTTCGTTCCGCTACCTGAAGCATCAGCGCGGCTTGGTACGCCAGGCGCTGGACCAACTGTTTGAAGCCGGCCAGGCCGACCCGGGTGTGACCGCAGCGCGGCAGGAACAGGAAGAGGAGCGGCTTGAAACCCCGCTTCGACTGGGAGAGCAGCGCATACAAGCAGTGCTGGCCACGCTCCGCATGCTTGGGGCAACCAAAGTGCTGGACCTCGGTTGTGGAGAAGGCAGACTGATCGGCGAGTTGCTCGGGGAGCCTGCGATTCGTTCGATAACCGGCCTGGACGTCTCCCACCGGGCGTTGGAAACAGCGCGCCTGCGCCTGCACCTCGACACCCTGCCCGCTCAGCAGCGGGATCACATCACCCTGCTGCACGGTTCCCTCACCTACCGGGACAAGCGGCTGTCCGGCTTTGACGCCGCAGTAGCAATGGAGGTGATCGAGCATATAGACGCCCCGCGGCTTGACGCCTTTGAGGAGGTCGTATTCGGGTCCGCAAAGCCTGGTGCGGTGCTGATCACGACGCCCAATGCAGAGTACAACACCCTCTTCGGGGGGCTGCCCGCCGGAGCGTTCCGGCACAGGGACCACCGGTTCGAGTGGACGCGGGGGCAATTCCAGGCTTGGGCGAGGCAGGCAGCGGACCGTCGCAAGTATGATGTGCGTTTTCAGGACATCGGCCCCGAGCACCCCGTTCACGGCGCGCCGACTCAGATGGGGGTCTTTACCAATGAAGATTGCCATTCCCGAACTGTGCCTGGTGGCGCTCATTGGCCCAACGGGATCGGGGAAGTCTTCTTTTGCCGCCAGCCACTTCATGCCCACGGAAGTGGTGTCTTCGGACATCTGCCGGGCGATGGTGGCGGATGACGCCACCGACCAGGCCGCAACACCCGACGCCTTTGCCCTGCTCAACTTCATCGCGGCGACGCGCCTGCGGGCCGGACGCCTCACCGTCATCGACGCCACCAGCGTACAGCCGCAGGCCCGCAAGTCCCTGGTGGCGCTTGCCAGGGAGCATGACTGCCTGCCGGTAGCCATCGTGCTGAATATGCCGGAGTCCCTGTGCCTGGCTCGCAACAGAGAACGTCCCAGACCGGCAGTTTGGTTCGCAAGTGGTGCGCCGCCAGGCGGACCAACTCCGGCGATCGCTGCGCGGGCTGAAACGCGAGGGCTTCCGGCACGTGTTCGTGCTCGACTCCCCCGAGGAAGTGGAAGCGGCCACCATTGAGCGCGTACCCCTGTGGGTCAACTTACAGCATGAACACGGACCATTCGACATTATCGGTGACGTGCATGGGTGCTACGACGAACTGGTCATCCTCCTCGAACGCCTCGGCTACCGACTGGAGACCAGCGCCGGCGCGGACGGGGAAACCGGATTTTCGGCATCCCATCCGGAGGGTCGGAAGGCCGTATTCGTCGGCGACCTCGTGGACCGCGGCCCGGGCGTCGCCGAAGTGCTGAAGCTGGTGATGGGCATGGTCTCCGGCGGCGTGGCGCTCTGCGTCGCGGGCAACCACGAGTCCAAGCTCGTCCGCAAGCTCCGGGGCCGGAATGTGCAGGTATCGCACGGGCTGGCGGAATCACTGGCACAGCTGGAACTGGAGTCCCCGACGTTCCGGCAGCGGGTTGCCCAGTTCCTCGACGGACTGATCAGCCACTACTGTGCTTGATGATGGCGGGTTGGTGGTGGCCCACGCAGGGATGAAGTCGGAATACCAGGGTCGGGCGTCGGCGCGGGTCCGGGATTTCTGCCTTTATGGCGAGACCACCGGGGAGACCGACGAGTTCGGCCTTCCGGTGCGGGCCAACTGGGCCGCCGGTTATCGTGGCCGGGCGATGGTGGTTTATGGCCATACCCCGGTTATGGAACCCGCCTGGCTCAACAGCACCATCAACGTAGATACTGGCTGTGTCTTCGGTGGCAAGCTGACCGCGCTTCGCTATCCGGAAAAAGAGCTGGTTTCGGTTCCTGCGGCGCGGGTCTACTATGAGCCGGTGAAACCTCTGGCTGAGCCCGCCCGGCCGGAGGAACCCGCCGAGACGGGCGAGTCTCGCGCGGCGAACCTCCTGGACATTGACGACGTGCTGGGGAAGCGCATCGTAGCGACGCGGCTGCGCGGCAATATCACGGTTCGGGAAGAGAACGCTGCGGCGGCGCTGGAGGTGATGAGCCGTTTCGCCCTGGATCCCCGCTGGCTGATGTACCTTCCGCCCACCATATCCCCCTGTGATAGCTCCAAGCTGCCCGGTATGCTGGAACATCCAACGGAGGTGTTCACCTACTTCCGCAATAACGGCGTGTCCAGCGTGATTTGCGAAGAAAAGCACATGGGGTCACGGGCCATCGTCGTGGTGGGGCGGGACGCCGCAGCGATCGAGCGGCGGTTCGGCATCACCGGCGAGGGTATCGGCGCCTGCTACACGCGGACAGGACGAAGGTTCTTTGAGGATCGCGCCCTCGAGGCGCAGTTTCTGGAGCGTGTCGGCTTGGCGCTCGTCGAGGCCGGTCTCTGGGCGGAACTGGGAACCGACTGGGTGGTGCTGGACAGCGAGCTCATGCCGTGGTCCGTCAAGGCGCAGGAGCTGGTCCGTGAACAGTATGCGGCGGTGGGCGCAGCGGCTCGGGTCAGCCTCACTGACGCGGCAGCGCTCCTCCGGCAGGCGGCAGCACGGAGTATTGACGCCAACGAGAGCTTGGCCGGAGTAGAGGAGCGGCTGCGCCTGGCCCAACTCTACAGCGACGCCTATGCCCGGTACTGCTGGCCCGTGGGGTCGCTCGCGGATATCCGGCTAGCGCCGTTCCACCTGATGGCCAGTGAGGGCCAGGTGCATACTGATAAGGCCCATCTCTGGCACATGGACATGGCCAAGCGCTTGTGTCAGGCCGACCCCGGGCTGTTCCAGGCTACCAGGCATCTGGCAGTAGACCTGAACGCTCCAGACGAGCTTGAGGCCATACGCTGGTGGGAGGAACTGACGGGCAAGGGCGGGGAGGGTATGGTGGTGAAGCCGATGGACTTCATCGCCACCGGAAAGCGGGGCATGGTGCAGCCCGCCATGAAGTGCCGGGGCCCCGAATACCTGCGCATCACCTACGGGCCGGAGTACACCCTGCCGGAGAACATAGAACGCCTGCGAAATCGCGGCCTCTCCACGAAACGGTCGCTGGCGCTTCGGGAGTTTGCATTGGGTGTAGAAGGTCTCAGGCGTTTTGTCGACGGAGAGCCTCTCTACCGGGTGCACGAGTGCGCCTTCGCTGTGCTTGCCTTGGAAAGCGAGCCGGTGGACCCGAGGCTGTGAGAGAAAACGCGTTGAGAGGGCCGCAGGGACGTTCTTATAGACACCCGTGTAAGCGGCGGCGATGAAGTGGACCGTGTAGGCGGAATATCATTAACGGAAAGGTCCTGCACGCTCCCAACTCATAGCGAATCGGGTGCTTGCAGCGGGTAGGTGTAGTGTAGGGTCAGCTCAACCACTTGAGGGCCTCCCCGACCGCCTCGTCCCGGGCGTAGCGCGACACCATGTCGCCTTGCCTCCACCGGCCTTGGCGCTGCACTGCCGGGCTGGGCGCCCCTGCCGCCACCATCCGCCGGGCCATGCCGATGCGGCCGCTGTGTCCGGAGAAGCGGTTCCCGAGGCCTGCGGCCCGAACACCAAAGTTGCGGGGTCTACGTCGCCGGGCTGAATCTCGCGCAGGGCGTGGATGGATGGCTCGAGGGAACTTTGAGTCTAAAAGTTCCCATTCCGGCGTGTTGACCGGTTCCGGCCTCTTGGTATCAGGTAGGCACCGTGGGTGTGAGGGTGGGGTCAATTTGCCCGGATGGGAACTTTTGGCGTAAAAGTTCCCATATGACGATTCCCCATTACTGGAACCCGCAGCAGGTCGAGCGGCTCCTGGACTCCCTGGCGGCCCTGGGGCTTCGCCGCGCCCGGGTGGCGGCGCTCATCATGTGGCGATCTGGGCTGCGTGTCGGCGAGACCGTGGCCCTGGAATGGCGGGACATAGACGTCACGGCCGGCACCCTGCTGGTCCGCCGCGGCAAGGGCGGCAGGGGCCGGACCGTTCCGCTGCACCCGGACCTGGCCAGTCTGTTCGCCAATTGGCCCACGTCCTACGGTCCGCGGGACCTGGTTGTCGGACTGACCCGGAAGACGGCCCTGCGGCATCTGCGGGCTGGCATCGAGCATGCCGGCTTGGATGAGGAGTCGCCCGGGACCGGGCGTCAGAGAGCCGGGGCCCATAGCCTGCGTCACAGTGCGGCGCGTCATTGGCTGACCACCGCGGTGTCAATGGCGCCCGCAATCTCTACCTCACCGGCGTGTCGCGGGTCCCAACCTGGGATCGGCAGAAGCGTGGATAGAGTTTTGTCAGTCACTCTTTTGAACCGCTCCTTCTGTGTTCCGTCGCACCAGTCTCCCTTCCTACCGGAAGGGGTAGAGGTGGCAGGCAGGGGGGTGATTGACGAGCGAGACGACGACCGCACAACGGCTGGCGGTCATCTCGAGATAGCAGCTCTGCGTACGGGCGAGGGCCGCTTCAAACTGCGGTGGTAGTACTCGGCAGCTCCTCAATCTTCCCTCATGATAAGGCCCTGTATTCCGGTCAGTCGTCATCACTGCAGAATGCGCTTGTACTCTCTCTGGATACGCCACGGCCTTGGAGCGAAGGCGTGGAGCACGCGGAGCGGATACCCGGCGTGGTCAATAACGCTTCATGACGACCTTTGGAGTACGCATGGTGAATAATATCGACGAGATGCTCGTAGTAGGTGATCGGATCGTACGTTCTTGAGGGTGGTGACGATTGTATGTAAGGCGCGTAATAGAAAGCGAACGGCATCGACATCAGGATGCGCCCCTGTCGAGGGTGGGGGCTTACCGGTCGAACAGGGAGAGAGTGCCGCCGAATGGAGTGGGGATATTGATGGTCGGCCACACAAAAGGCGCGCGCGACATGAATTCCTGGTCAACTCGGTGGTCTGTTTCCTTCGTCCACGTCCAGCCCGAATATCAGATTGGCCTGCATCCGGGCACGTACTCGAGGATCAGCCGGAAAATGGTCGATACTGGTCAGCTGATCTCATCAGACTGTTTTCGAACCGACGCCGGACTGTTCGAGTGATGCGGACCAGGACTCAACTCCAGGAGCTAAGTAGAGGCACCGGTGGAGCGCAGCTTTCCAGTCTGGACGTGCGCAGGATGGATAGGAGCTCTCCCATGATGTAGTAGGTGCGATTCCGTGCGGGACCCTCTCCAGGACCGCGAACAGCTCGTCGAACTTTACGGCAAAGTTCGGGTCGTGAAGCTCACAAGTAGCTGGGGTGCTTGTCGAAGATGAACCGCAGTCGGCTCGAGTTGTCAAGGGCGAGCAAGGCGAACGGGTTGCTCCAATCGATGCAAAGTCGCAGGCGTAGGGGCACCGACGCTGGCGAGAGCTGGCAAGTGCTGGATATATAGGGCTTCCGCCGGAGAAGATCGAGGTCCGGAGTTCCGGCATGCGTTCCTCGACGGTTGGCAGGGTCCTGAGATGACGCCGCTGGTCACGTCTCTCCCTTCGAGCCTGCTCAGGATGTCACTCCACCAGGGTTTAGTCGCAATGAGCACGACCACGTCGAAGAATCGGCGGCAATCGTCTGGAAAAGACTTCGAGTGTGGGCCGCCGATCACCGTGCGGGCGCCGTCCAGCCGGAGAGCTTGGCGAGGGGTAGGCCAGTGCGCTCGCCTGTGTATAAGTGGAGATAAACACACGTCCAAATCGTCCGGCAAGAGGGCCTTGGCTCGCGCCTGCCCGTAGTAGGGGCGTAGAAGGACTCGTGCCCCATCTGCCGGCACCATACGCTGACCGCCTGTGGCATGATGCTGGCGTACTGCTGACGAAGTAGTGAGGGTACGCCGAGTGGGTCCAATGGCTGCTTTCTCTCGGACGCAGAAGAATCTCCAGAACCCCTATTCGCATCGCCGCACTCCGGCGCCGACGCGAATATGGCGGACCGTAAGCGAATTGGCTGTAGGTGAGGATCGAGTCCATTAGTGGGTTCCTACGGGCGGTGGGCCGTTTTGACCGTAGGCAGAACATCTTGAGAGTGGCTGGGAGATTGTAACCCTTCGCACAAGTCCCGCGCAGACGGCCATAGGGGAGTTCGAGCTTGATGGATCTGCCTACTCGACCAGGCGGGTCAGAGCCCTTAGTTCTCGGTGATTGTTTGATCCAGGGTTAGCTCTTTCGGATCACCGACCAGCCCATGGAAATAACGAACCAGTATTCCTCCTGGTCGGAGGAACGCTTTGCGTTCACAAACGGAGTGGATAAATCCCAGGAGCTTCGGAAGTCGTCGATCACGTCGAGGGAGACTCTGTGTATACCATGGGCCATGGTCCACAACAAACCGGGCCCATAACGTCCACCAAACCTTACGGGCCCCTACGGCACTCGTCCGAAAAGCATTGCGAAGTCGATCCTAGTATTACAACGTCAGTTAGTTGGATAGGATGACTGTGTAGCTGGAGAGGGAACAGGCAGGTGAGGGGGGATGTGGATGCGGCAGCTTTCGAGCAGGGACGGAAGGCCTCGGGGATTTTCACGCTTACTCGCACTCGTGTGCCCGCCGGGAGGACACGGGAGCACAGCGGTCATTATCTCCCAGGCGCCTTGCTGGTACAGTCGGGGGGAGCGGCGCAACGCTGTGAGACCTGTCGAGAAGTTCCGGGTCTGCCCAGAGGGATGAGAGGTTTCTCACTGATTATCCTGGGGACGCGATGAGGCGGCCGATTATCGGACGGCGCAGGAGTACTGGGAACCAGGGTTGGGAGCATCCGGAAGGGGTGTGTGTGAATGAATTTGTTGTTGTCAGCGATTAGTGACCCTTCACGTGAAGCGATTATGTCACCCGGACGTAGTTGGATCTGCCACTAGCGGCTGTGCGACCAGAGCCTCGGCCTTGGCTCGCTCACTTGGCGCTGAGTTTCTAGGTGGGTGGAGCGCAGCACGGTCAGGGGCGGACTTCTTCGCGGTGTGGCCATGCCCAGATCCGGGCAATGGCAGGAGGGAAAGTCCCTGCTCCAGGACCCTCTGTACCGCTCCCATGCGGCTGCGATGGGCTTGCCGTGGGCGTCCGGTGTGCAACGGTGGCGCACTGCTTCCAGTCTTTCAACCTCTGCGCCTGTGGCTGAGCTGCGTTCGTCGCTCGATCGTCGATCGCTGATCGGACGATTCAGGGCGGGACAGGCGTCCCGTTGAGGCTCGTTCAGATGGCTGCTGCTGTGCCTTCGGCCACCGCATGCAGCCCAGGTCGGGGATGCGAGCACCGGGTGTCTGCGACCCGTTCAAGCACCGACGAGCGGGCGGCGGCTCCTGAAAAATCCTACGGCCTCCCTGTACTGGCGCAACAGCTCCCCGTCGGCCCGTTCCATGACGTTGAGCCCGGAGGCACGGCATAGTATGGCCGCTCCGCCTCAGGCAGCAGCAAGAGCTGGAGCACCGCCACTGGTACTTTCACCTGTGTTGTCTCTGGCCTACCTTGCGGTGTCCTTGGAGACAGATGGTCTCGGTTCAGGGACAGCTGTAGTCGGACCGCCGGTAGGCCGCCTCGGCTGCTCCAGCCGCACGGCGAAACGCGCATGGAACCGGGGCAGCGGCAGAAACTCCTGCGGGTTTCAAGACCAAGCGGCCTCGTCGAGGCTGCTGCACCTAGGCCTAAGCGTCCAGTTCGCGTTACCAGCCGCGGTCCTGAAAGCTTTGTCCAACATCGCTCCACACGCCCCTCTTGGCCTGAGGATAGAGAGGGCGAAGTGATCTGCTGGACGCGCCCAGCTCCCGCATCACTCTGGCGAATCTGCGTAGTCTCCACAGGCACCGGCGTCTGATCGGGCGTTTGTACTTGAAAGCGGCGTGGCGGTCACTGTAGAGGGCCAGGGGGATTCCCCACTGCCGACCAGCCGTCCAGGAGCACCAGGTAGCCGCGGGTGTCCTCGGTGGTGTGGAAGAACGGCCTGGGCACGGTGCCGGTGGCGTCGTCCACGGCGATCAGCAGCGTCAGCTTCGGCCCCGGTCCTCCAGCCAGGGGTGCTGGCTGCCGTCGATCTGCACCAGCATGCCCTCCTGGGGCATGCGCCGGCGCCGGAAACGGTGCTGCTGGGAGCGGCGGCTGCGAGGACTGCCGATGCCGGCCTTGACCAGAATCCGGCGCACCGTGAGTCGGCTCAGGTCGATGCCCTCGCGCGTCCCGCAACAACTCGGTGAAGTGGCTGTGGTTTGCCCCGGCGTAGCCCGTTGCTGGCCAGCTTCACCACGGCAGCGGCGG